AAACACAATACTGCACCATGATTACAAATGTTGAAATACAATGTAAAACTACCGAAAAATACCAGCTCACTAAAACACAACCGCTCAACTCAACGCAACTAACTATACTATAACTACTATCCCGCGGTCAGAGAGCGGAGATGTGTCCCCTGTGTTATGTAATATGACGCGTTTGACTATGACCTTAAAAAAAAGCCGTTTTTAAGAGCAGAGCTCAAAATTGCTCCTTTCCCTCTGAATTCCTGCCCTTATGTCTCGTAAAACATATCAAATCCTACACTCACTTTTTTAATTGTAATTTTCAAGCAAGTTTAAGCATGAATGTAGAAAAAAACAAAAACCTGCAAGATGCTCTTTAAAGTCCTCTGCAGATTTCTGGAGAAAAACGGTGTTCAGACGGTTCATAGCAAATCAGTATTTACCCAAAAAAAAAAGTACAATCAATGATGAATCTCCATAAATTATTTTTGAAATCTTTTTCCATTATATATATATATTTTTTTAATGTCTTCCTATAACCTCTTCTCTAAAGGGTTTAAAAACAGTGTGATAATATATAATTAATACACTTTTGCATAGATTGTAATGTATCCTTTTTTACATGTACATTTATTATTATTATACATTTGCTTTTACCATGTTTATATTAATAATTGTATTTTACTTTATTATAAAACTAGGATTGAAGATTAATATTACTATAATATTAAGACTACACAACGAACACACAGTACAAACACACAAATACATAGGAATACATTATGCACAAACACATGCATTTTGACAAAAAACAATTTTCTACCAGAAAAAAATTAAGTATTCTGATTCTAATTTGTTACCAAACTATTTATATAAAACATATAATAAAAAGATCGATCACCCAGCACACTCAACTGGCTCCTGCAAACCATTTAAATCTGATTCATCCCGGGCCAAATTTGAACTTCCTGATTGTGGAGCACAGGAACAACTGGCATTCATTAATACGGTGGAGAACGAACCGTCCCTGGGAAGATAAATGAACAACAGAAACGCTTTGCTAGGGACCGAGTGAAGGTCGATCGTGAGATGCGTCTTTCAGCACGTGCTCTGGCTCTTCGCTGGGACACCTTGTTGGGAGTGTTCTCCATCGGAGCGATGCTGCGCTGGAAGCTCGAGAAGCATCGAGCAGCACACCAAATGATGACAGAGTGTTTGTCTTTGATCTGCTGATACATGCTCGCTCTGTCATTTGTCTTTAATGGCAAGTTAAGTTGAATTTGAGAGCACTGCAAATTACTCAAACCACTGGACAAACACAATGTTGACATTGGACAATTATAAAAGATAACTTTGTGTAAAGAGTTAACATTCCTTCACTTCTGACAAGGATGTTATTTTATCGGTTCAGTTTGTTTGTCACATTAGAAAAACCACAGGCCAGATTTTCACGAAACTTGGCGGTAGAGTGTCGCATGGATCAAGAAAGAACCGATTTAATGTTGAAGCAGATCAGACTCACGGGGCGCATACATGTAGTTGGTATGACAATTGAATGTTCATCTGGATTTTCCTTGTGTGACTGCGCTCCGACTTTACCCAGTTCAACTAAAGCTTATCTCGTATTCTCTAGTAAGGGTCCACTTTCTTGGTCTGCAGACACCCAAAGAATATAGGTTCAGTACCCAAATCTGACTTATAGCTGGTGGTTTTAGAAAAAAGTGTTGTAACAGTTGTTAAAGGCCTTAAAAAACCGGCTGTCAGTGTTGCATACTTTGCACCTTTCTCGCCAGATTTAGCCACTTTAGCTTTTATTGCTAGCTACGACAGACAGCCGTGATTTTTGAAGAGTGTACGTGTCTGAAAAACGATGGTTGTTAACAGAAGTTGTCGAGGACGTTGTACGTCATTACGCCGCCTCCCGTTGATTTAAAACGCGCCCGTGGGTCGTAATTTGGTATACAGGCTGACGCACCCGTTGATTGAAAACGCTGCTCTGGGTCGTATTAATGGGTCCGAAAACAAGGAAAACAATCGACCTATTTGGTCGTATTAGTTGGAGGACTTGTTGCAACCTACTTTCATTAGGAAAGAGACTGCAACATGGGGCTTGGTTTTTCAGTTACATCATTTTGAAAATGTAGCATACTCTTGCTGGCTTCTTCAATGTTACCCACCGTAGCTTTGAGTGCCAGTGTACAGGCAAAACAAGGGGGCATGTTTAAGTAGAAACATTAAAGCTTTTTGCTGGATGGTGCCAAATTGGAAACTCCAGCTAGAACTATATTGGTAGGTGTAAAGTAAACAACACCCTTTTCAGCGTTCGTTTAAACCTCTACCAAGAAAGAACAGGGAAGCTCCCAGTGAAAGTATGAAAGTGAAGCAGAGCATTCCTCAAAAACTACGTACATCCTCCACAACTTCCTTCCTGCATAACATTTTTTGGAATAAATGTCTTAGTGGGAAAAGTTCAGTACAGTAACAAGCAGAGTTGGGTATTTGCTGATTCAACAGTAATCCAGAAAGGCCTGGAGTGCAGGCACGCCTGAGAGAGGTTAAGTGGCCCTTCAGTGTGTGTCCTTTAAAAAGGCTTTAATGGCGAGCCCACAATAACAACAGTAACACTGTCACAGACACTCACCTCTTTTATAGTGCTCGCCTCGGCCCCTTGAAGGATTGATGCGTCACCATAGCAACATCGACCCTTAAAGTCTCGTTGCAACCCGAGCCAAGGCCCAGATTTATGGCTGTTTTCATCTTGTTACAGCAGATTTATCTTCACAATAAAAAAGAACAACAATCTGTAGAAATCATTAACGGGAGTCTGCTGGAAAACTCTGGGTCAAAGGCAAAAGTGCACCAGAAGAGCTGAAGGATAATGTTGGTATGATAGAGTGCAAACACGTGGCAGTAAAGCAAAAACAAACAAAGAAAAGTTGAAAAGCACTTTTTGTTTTATGAAAATACAGCACAGGTTACACTGTGGAATAGGCCAACAAGGAAATGGTCAAATTTAAAACAATGTTCAGGTTCATATTTGAATTTTAGAGACGTCCCGCTGCTTAGCCATCAGGTTAAAATTGTTGAAGCGCTAGCCAATACAAGCGCAAGTGTTACATATGATGTCACTATGTTTTTGAAGTAAACACAGGAGTGCAATGGAGGCGTTTCAGGCAGGGTTGGGGGAGTATCTGGAAGAGAAACTTTAGGGGGGTTTCAGCCTTTGCAGACAATTGACATGCATAAAAACCTATAGAACACACTTAAGGAAAGGGAAAATCCCAAAAAGCAGAATAGGGAATCTGTAAATTGATGTTGTAGCTTGACTGATTCTGCAAATGTAAGTTCTAGCAAGAGTAATTTATAATTCATGCTTCATTTTGGGGGGATTAGCGTCCTCATTTTTCTCTCCCTGAATTAGTCTTGCGTGTCGTCTATATGTGATGAGGCAAAGATATTCAAACCCCAAAGATGGCATCTCCTGACGTTACTCAAGTCTTCTCCGGGAATTTGAATGGAAGTCTGAGAGGAATGGTTTGTATTCAGAGATGAAGTCATTAGCGGAGCGCGCTGCTAAAGACAGATGACACTGGGAGGTGGTGACGAGGAGTTGGAAGGGCAAGAAACAGTGATGGCTGCGTTGGTATTTTAAGCAGACGTCTTCATTCCTCCCCGCCGACGTGAGTGATCCTCCTGCATTTGCCACGGTGGGGAAGCTGTGTGACCCCGCGGGGGCACTCGGCTGACTGGCCTCTCTGCAGTGCATCCCTTAAGCAGGCTTGACCGACCTGCAGTCACACACTCTGCGGTCAAGCCGTGGGCAGGGGGATTTGAGATGTGACAGCATAATCAATTTCCATGATTCATGATCACCCCGAAAGGAGGGCGCGCTGAGCGACTGGGCAGCTGAGAGAGGAGCGCAGGGGGGGGGGAATGCTGACAACAGCACTCCACCGACATCTATAGCAATGGAGACACTTTTACACTATAGCTGTGCTACCCCAGTTCCTCACACAGTAAATAACAATAATGTGAGACTTTATTGATCCCAGTGGGGAGATCCTGTCACTGAGCGCTCTGCAGAGAACAGTCCAGGCTCAAGTTCAGCCACAGAACAGAGAAGCACCCTGCAGCTATAACGGTGACTCAGGTCAAGATTCATGAAGATTACGACACGAGGAACCATCTGCACTTTTTGTTTAGCTACAGGAGGTTTTGTATTAAATGGAGATTAACAACTGCAGTCAGGAGTGACTAGAGAGTACGGAGCAAATAGAAAATTCATCGCCGAGGACAAATTGCTTCTGCTTGGAGAATAAACATGATACAAATACTTGTCTTCTTCTCTAGTGTAACTGTATCTCTTACCTCATTCACACCAACGGTGTTTCAGGGCCGGTTCGGAGCTGGAGCTTGAAAAGCACCGGGTTTTCCTGTTCACACCGCAGCGGAGCAGCCTCTTAGCTCCGGAATCCGGTTCATTTCGAGCACTAAAAAATTGTCCGGCCAGAGCAAAAGCACCGCATACGTCACGCTTACGTCGAGGCGGGGGCAGGGGCAGGGGCGGGATCAACTCCTGAACAACAACAAAAAGCCGGCGTTTTATCCAGTTTGTACACAACAATGGAGAAACTTAACAAGCAGCAGTGGTCCACTGAAGAGACCAGCTACCTACTGGGAATCTGGTCTTCCGAAGAGGTACAGAGGAAGCTGGAGCACAATCGGCCATTGTTGTTGTTGTCGGTGTCAGCTGTGAGGGGCGGTTTGGCTTTATGAAGCAGGCACGCAAACGGTTACGTCATGACGCAAACGATGGCGCAATGACGCAGCACCAGTCAGGCTCTGGGCAGTGTGAAAAGAGCCGGAGCTAAACCGAAGAACCGGTTCTGAACCTGAAAAGCTCTAGCACGGAGCTTGAACCGTTGCGTTGGTGTGAATGAGGTATCTGTTACAATAGCTCTGACACTGCACCATCAACTGTTTATCTTTTGTGAATCTCATGGGAACTGTGTTACATTTACAGTTAGCTTTCTCCTGATTGCTTGACATGTTAAATGATGTTCTTTTTTGTGCACTGTGTGTACAATATTCTTTTGTATATGATGCTTTCATTTGATGATATTCATGAAGAATATGTTGTGATGTGTTTTGTATTATAACGTGATTTTACTACCAGATTTGTGATTCTTTTGTTTCAGTAAGACTACTAAATATTTGACACAGACAAGTGATTTGATTAACTAGATCTTCCAACACACTGTTAGGCTCCTGAATTTCCATTTAATGACTTATCATAGAGTTAGATAGAGATATAGGTGAATGAGTAAAGTAGACTTGTGTCGGCTCTCAGGAGCAGCAACGTTGGCATTTTTAGAAGTGTATAATGTATTTTAAATGATATAGTTAATATGTAACGCAGTGAAAAGTGTGCAGTTGGATTCTGTAATTCTAAAAATGCTCACAGGGTAAAATAAGTAAGAAAATGTGATCCCAGTCGGACTTGGCAGTTGGTCAAATGGGACCAGGTTTGTATTCCATGTGTGGTATAGAGCCAGACATCTGAGTAAAGGACATATTTGCTGTGAACCGTGTTATCCTTGTAAAACTCGGGGTTTATGCTTTTTGCCTTGGGAAGCTGTTAGATTTCTGTCAGAAGAACTGAGTTGTGGAAGGAGCGAGGAAAAGTCTGCTAAACCCTGATCCATCAATCCATCAGACCTCATGAGCAGGAAACGCTTCAGATTTACAAACACTGATTTTCTTTGACATTTTAATTGCAAAAAGCATTTCATTCATTTCTTATATTTCAAAGTAAAGTTAATCCAAGTTATTCATTTGAGAAATGGTGATGAGGTCTTTCACTATGGCGGGTTTTTGTTTTGTTTTCACTGATAACTCAAGGTTAACACCCGTTTCCGTCTCCAGTGTCTGTGAATGACTCTAACAGCTGAAAATCTGTGCAGATGTGAGACTTTGTCGCTGTGGATTATGTCACTCGTAAACGCCGACTTGAGACGGAGAAATTGAATCTATGGTCACTCCCCTGCATTCTCGACGGGGTTCATCCTGTGACCTTCCAACCCCGAGAAATACTTCAGATATCGATACGGACTGGGCTGAAAATATGATGATGTGTCCTTGTAACACTATAATTAACACCTAAATAAATAAACAAAAATATTTGGTTTTACTGTTTGAATCCCTCGTAATTTGGCGTTTTCCCGTTTATTTCCATGTTAAGGTGCTATATCTTCCTGTGATTGCTGGTATTTAGTTTGTTGAAATAAATGTAAAAACATTCACATGTATATATGTATATAAATAAAAACAAGAGTAGCCATGTTTCATTGTTTAGGCAGCTGATTTTTGTATTGCGACACGACTGTGTACAGTAAACATTAGCCAGTTAGAACTGACAGACATGGGTAAATATGTTCAATTAGTAGAAGATTACTCAGTAAATCACTTTTTAGAAATAGATAATGAATAATTCATTTGGAAAAATGTGTGTTGGAAGTATATACATTCATTTCTACAGTTAGAGTTTCACACAGTATTGAACTGGGGTGTTGGGATATATACGTATTGATATCAAAATCAATATCATGCTAACGTACATGTATGATAATATTTTACAAATACTTCAGCACTTCTTAAATAACTTCTGTTTCTTTCTGTTGTTGCTTTCAGTTTATATGGTTGCCTTATCCATTACGTTTTGTTTTGTAGTTCTGGTTACAGACTCTCTTACATGCCTACAATTGTATTTTGAGTCTAATACATTTCCCAAAAAAGCAATGAAAAAACTTTAAGCTAAAGAGTCATTTGACACAAAGCATTGTCTTAAAAGTATTTGATAATATTAATCGTGTAGCTCTAAGATCAACTGCTGCCTTTTAACAAAAGTAGAAACAGAGTCGTAAATAAGAGACTGGTTAGTCGTCTTCGTCAGGCTCTTCGTTTGTTTGTCCAGATCTCAAGGTCATGGTCTCTGGCCCATTAGCAGTCCATGGCTGCCTGTGTGCTAAACATGGACTGAGCTGACGGGGGTGTGTGTGTGTGGGAGGAGTGTGTGCGGAGGTCACAACTCAAGAGCTGATATGTCTGTCTCTCAGAGGCCAGCAGGAGATTGGCCTCTCCTGCCCAGACGGCCGCTGACCCCTGTGGAGACAGTCCCGCTTCAAGTTGCTGCCGGGCCCTTTGAAAAGAGCCCGGCCCTGCTTGAGTGATTGGCCATATGGGCGACAGTGCCATCCAGGAGCCCCACGCTGTGCCAGGCATGAGTGGGAGGCACGGCCCCCTCCCCCAAACTCCCATATCCCAGTCATCGTGTTTCTAGTATCTCCACTGTCCGTCCTAACACAACTACATGCTGTGATGTACAGTGCAGTAAAACGGGACTTCCCCTTCACATTACACACATTCAAACACACATTCAACAAACGCATCACACACAGGTGCAGATGGAACTATACACCCTGCAGCTCAAGGGTTAGTATCCTGAGTGTCAAATTGTGCACTTACATTATTGTTTTTACAATAAATGAACATGATGAAGACTGTGAAATATGTAATAATTTCCATATCTCAAGCAGTGATTGCTTAACTGTAATATTAACACATTTTTTGACAGTTTTAATAATAAACTGAGCTCACTAAGATATAAATAGGATAATGAATGACAACCTGTGCACTATTTTAAATGAACACAAACATTGTGGCTTGCAATTTATTAACTAATAAACTAGGAGAATTCATTTGTTTTTGTTCAGATTAAACCTCGGTTTAAGCAGCGGTTGCCAACCTGTGGGCCGCGGCCTCCTAGTGGTCCGCGAAGGCATTGCAAGTGGGCCACCAATTTAAAAAAAATATATATGTAAATGTTGTACAGGCTAAATACACAAACATGGACATAACAATAACGTATAGGAGAAGACATTCCCATCTCAGACAAAAAAAAAAAAAAAAACAGAAGAAATAAAGATACAGTCAGTAGGATCACTTCAACATTTCACAAACAAAAATAGGTTGACAATCAAAAACCAACAAAAACACAACATGGCAAGCATATGTATTGTTCCTTTAATCCCACTCTTTGTTAGAGCTAACTATTTCCCATTTCATGGTGTGATGAGCCTCAGATGTTTTGTGGCATCAATTTTTTTCAAAATAAATAGTATTTTTAATCTACTCTTCAAACACCTTAAATCAGGATTAATCCTTGATTGACTTTTCAAAATATGTATTTAGCCAGAAGAATAGTTGTATTTACTTCCTGGGTTCTGTGACGTGTGAACACCCAAATCAACAACAAATGACCGGATTGGCCCAAATGGACCAATCCGCGGAGCACCTCACACACCCCCCATTTGAAACATGTTCCCACGGCTATGATTACTGGTGTCATTTTCTGGTTGGTAACAAACGCCATTGTAACACATAATCACTGATGTTCCGCTGTAACGGTGGTTGACTAATCAGAACAGAGTGGGCGAGCTGACCAATTAGAGCACAGTGGGCTCAAAGGGGGGGGGCAGGAGCTCCAACAAGCCGGTTAGGACAGAGAGTGAATACACATAGGCTACTATACAGAGATGCTGTATGAGAAACCAATGTGAGTTTGGAATATTGCACAATATAAATCTATTCTAGTAAACCTCAACAATAGAATTATGATCAGTAGAAATGGCCATGTCATGGGACCTTTAAGAAAAGGTCTCTATAGGGTTTCATTTATCTTGTTGACAACTCATCCCTTAAAACAGAAGCCTCAGAGTGATTATAATAAGGGGAAATATGAGGGGTCTATTTCAAGCTTGTTATTTAAATAAGTTATTGGGCATTTTTTATCAACTAAGATTTGTTAGAAAATGTTTTCCGTGAATTGACTGAAGTTATTTGAAAAGTGGGCTTATTAACAAGTGAATACTACTGTGTAATATGTTTTTACATATATATTTAAGAAGTACAATATAAGAAATGCACAAGTTTCATTTGTGGGCCATATTTCATTATACTTTTTTAATTTGCTGAGGGCCGATTCAAAATGGCCCGCGGGCCACATTTGGCCCTGATGCCATAGTTTGGACACCCCTGCTGTAAGGTGATATTTTGTATCTTTTTATAATACATTGTTTGCACAAGATTAAGGAAACACCAAGAACCAATAAAGTCCTGTAAGGTAATATTTCTGATACATATCAAGATTGTAAATTAGACAAGTATAACAAATATTCCCTTTCAGGACTTTAGGGGCTCCGTAGATACCAGAAAGGTTGGGCAATAATTTCAGTCTTTCACTCGCACTTATATAAACTTTTAACAAAAGTGCAAAAAAAGTGCAGTCAGCTCACAACATCCTTTCTCACCTCCTTTGTTCTTGAAGTACTCTGAGTCTTTCCACATCAGCGGGACAGGCAGGTCTACAGGGGGCAGATTTTTTTTAAGTAAAATATAAAAGCTAGGTTTAGGTATCTTTATGAATTTGGGTCTATGTATTTTGTGAACCCTCAACTGAAAGGGATACTTTTCCCAAACTTGGCAAAGCCTCTTCAGAGGTAGTAAAACAAGCAGATCATCAACACATACGTACATAATGACGTCTAAGTACAGTCTGGGACACTTAAGGATTCCAATAAACAACAGCACCAATGACAGCCTTAAGAAAAATACCATTGAGTTGAATCCACATGTTTGCAACGCAGTGTAATTAATGTGAAATGACATGTTTCAAATTCTCGTTTGTCCCTCATTACATATAGTACATGTGACATGCACAAATGCACTATCAACACAACACACCAAGTAAACCCACACATCTGAACAAAGGCTTGTTGAGGGATGGGGACAAAAACCCAATAGTAACCATGTGTTTTTAGAGCCAAGTTCAAATGTATTCTCAAAGAAACCACACCTATACATGAAGTGCTGAAATAGGCTTGAGTCCTTTAAAGAGATCACTGAATATCATCATGTATTTGATTATATCACATTAAATTGTTACTCACCTTTTTTTATTGTATGAATAAGTGTTTTAGCATTTATTTTAGCAAAATGTCCAAGATCATTGCAGATGAGCCCTACAAAAGAATGACCTTAAGGGGTTTTTAAAAGTTACCTTTTTGTCCAGAGTCAGAACTGAACATGGAGAAGCAGCGTTCAGCTATTATGCTCCAAATATCTGGAACAAACTCCCAGAAACCTGCAGGTCCGCTATGACTCTTATTACTTTTAAATCCAGGCTGAAGACTTTCTTTTTGCCGCTGATTTTAATTGAACTATTCATATCTCACACTGCACTGTAACTTTTTAAAATCTATTGTATACCTGTGTTATTTAATTTGAGCTTGTTCTATGTTTATTTTATTCTTTCTCTTTTTAATTACTGTTTTAAATGGCCATTTCATAACGTGTTTCCGGTGCACTATGTCTTTATGCTCTTAATTTTTGTTTGTTTTTGTAAAGCCTTTTGAATTGCCTTGTATTGAAAGATGCTATATATAAACTTGCCTTGCCTTGCCTGACCTCTAGTGGCTGGTAGGAGGATTGTTAGTCCACAACATAGCCCTGCCTCCACTCTAAACTGCAACATTCTTTGGTCCCTCTCCATTGATAACAGCTCTATGATCTTTCTTTTTACCCATGCATTCAACACATCTGACCTATGTCCCACTCTCTGCAGGATCTGAGCCTTCCTCATCCTCTGCAGCTGGCTGAGCAAGGCCAGGATGTGGGCGCTGCAGGTCAGCAGGCTCTTGGAGGCCTCCAGGGCCTGCTCTCTCCTGGAACACGCTGCCAGCAGCTTACTGCCCCCCTCCCACATCCGCACCTCCCTCTCAATCTGCCTCAGCACCTCTCCTTCCTGTTCATGATGAGTGGGAAACAGAATATTCTTTGAATCATGTTGATGAATATTCATATTCCTTTGACTGGAAAGACATACAGCTAAAAGTGCTTGGTAGGAATGATCCATGATTAAAAGGATCAATCATTCAAAAGATCATTTAATTATTAACCAATGCTAGGTTTAGACCTGAATCTGAAGTGGAAGGAAAGCCACAACACTTTGTACGTCATAGTCCACAGAGAATAAAGCCTGATTACTACCTCTGATTTTTCATCCACTTCATAGAGAACCGCAGTGATGCGTCCTAAAACCCGGAAGTAAGTTAGCATTTTTAGCACTTCCGGTTCCTTCGTCAAAAATCAATGCATTTTCTCCATAGGGTTTTGGAAAATAGCTCGAAATAAGGTCTGTGGTTGACACACATTTAAGAGATAAATCACGTTTTCTTCTACGACATTAAATATCAGCAGTAACCCCACTGGTGATTTTTGAAGAGTTTAAGTGTCTGAAAAACGATGGTTGTTACCTTGGACTACAAGGGGAAGATTGAGGACTTCTTCCGGGGCAACAACTCCAGGCGGGTGTGGCAGGGGGTCCAGCAGATGACTACAAACCCAGCCACCCCTCGGCCGATGGGGGTGACCCTCAGCTGGCGGAGGAGCTGAACTCCTTCTACGCCCGCTACGAGACGGGGCTATCGGAAGCAGCCACACCATTACATCCACCTGCCCTCAGCAGCCTCAGCCTCACGGAGCACGAGGTGAGACGCACACTGAAGGCAGTGAACCCGAGGAAAGCAGCGGGGCCGGACGGAGTCTTGGGACGGGTGCTGAGAGACTGCGCTGACCAGATCTTCAACCAGTCCCTGTCCCAGGCCATCGTCCCATCCTGCCTGAAAACATCCACAATCATCCCGGTGCCGAAAAAGAACAACATCGGCTGCCTAAATGACTACCGTCCAGTGGCACTCACCTCCACCCCCGCTAACGTTTTTGAGAAGGTGGTCCGTCCCCACATCATCTCATCCCTCCTTCCCGGTCTGGACCCCCACCAGTTCGCCTACAGGGCCAACAGGTCCACGGAGGACGCCATCGCCACAGCTCTCCACTCTACCCTGTCTCACCTGGAGAGTAGGGACCAAGCTTTCAGTCCTGGGAGTATCCCATTCCTTGTGTCTATGGATTAAGGACTTCCTGTCTGATCGCCTCCAGAGAGTGAGGATTGGCACCCACACCTCCACGTCCCTCAGTGAGCCCCCTACTATACGCCCTCTACACCTATGATCTCGTCCCCGCCCACACCAGCAACTCCATCATAAAGTTCGCTGATGATACCACCGTGGTGGGCTGCATCTCAGGGGGTGACGAGACCGCGTACATGGACGAGGTGGAGCAACTGCTAGCGTTGTGTAAAGTAAACAACCTGCAGCTGAACAAGCTGAAAACCCAGGAAATGATCATTGACTTTAGGAGGAAGAAGACCGACATGCAGCCCCTGTACATTGATGGAGGCTGTGTGGAGAGAGTCTCAGGGATCAAATTCCTGGGCGTTCACCTGGCGGAGGACCTGTCCTGGAGGATCAACACCACGGCAACCGTCAAGAGGGCACAGCAGAGACTCTGCTTCCTGAGAATACTCAGGAATGACCACCTCAGACAGGACCTGCTTGTGTCCTTCTATCGCTGCGCTTTTTATATTGTCTTGTTGTTTTTATATTGTCTTGTTTTTGCGTGTTGGCACCTTGAGTTCATTGTAATTTCGTTGTACCTGTGCAATGACAAATTAAAGATCTACCTACACTGAACAAAAATATAAATGCAACACTTTTGTTTTTGCTCCCATTTTTCATGAGATGAACTCAAAGATCTACAACATTTTCTATATACACAAAATAACCATTTCTCTCAAATATTGTTCACAAATTTTGTGAACAATATTTGAGAGAAATGGTTATTTTGTGTATATAGAAAATGTTGTAGATCTTTGAGTTCATCTCATGAAAAATGGGAGCAAAAACAAAAGNTGAGGTGCTCCGCGGATTGGTCCATTTGGGCCAATCCGGTCATTTGTTGTTGATTTGGGTGTTCACACGTCACAGAACCCCCCAAATGGACCAATCCGCGGAGCACCTCANCTTTTGTTTTTGCTCCCATNCGGGGCACAGGCCGCCATGTGCCTGCAGACACACACCAGTTTGTGGGTAATGGAGTTTTCTAATGAGAGTCTTGGTAAGTTACATTGTTGTTATATGTTATATGACATTTCACAGTGATTAAACCATATTGCTGGTACATAAAATCATTCAAATGTTCTTACTTTGCTCACATTTCCTGATGTGTTTCATTGTTTTGGTATGCTTCTATAAATGTGATGGAAGTAATAGTGATGGTCAGTACACAAAAGAACCATTTGCAGAAACTTGAATTACTCTAACAGGAAGTCCAAAGAACAAAACATGACATTTCCTCTAAACAGGTTGACACGTTAAAGTAAAAGATTCCTAAGAGAAAAGTTATTTTTAGGACTATCAGTATTCAGGAATGTTAAAAAAATCCAAACAACAAATTATCCAATTGCATTTAGATAAGACAAGATAAGAAGTACTTTATTGATCTCAAATTTTGCAATTTGTGTGTAATCTTCTGACTATGTTGTCATATATACTGTACATACAGTGGTAACATGTTACTAAGTCAATTTACTGGTGATGTTTTACATAATTTAGTTTACTTTAGTATACTTCACTTCACATTTCAGAGGCAAATACTGTACTTTCCTCGCCACTACATTTATTTCACACTCACAGTTCATTTTGAAATAAAAACACTTGATTTGCTTATATGATACCATGTAGTATACACAGTATGTTATGAAATATCTGACATATATTGTATACATGTCGGCTTGTCATCAGACATCTCTAAATGTCTATTAACAGCATTTTCTATTTTTATCTAACAGAAGCAAGATTTGTTATTTTAAAAGTCAACTTTAACTTCCTGTCAACACAACTTGTCTAACAAGAGTAAGACAAAAGAAAACAAATTAAATACTTCTTAGGAACTTAACTGCGAGATGCACCTTTACCACAAGACAAAGCATTACCCAGTAGTCCCCTCTGGATCTACATATTATGAATCAACCTTCCAGCCCAATAAATGCACAGAAAGCAGCACATTCCTAACATGCTCTGAGCTTCATTCCTACCATTTTTCCTGGCCGTGTTGAAATTCACAAAACACAGCAGACTGTGGCTACACCAGCGAGCGGCTTTGAAATGTATTATTTATATAGCTGTGAAAGTTTTTCTTGGAATTATAAACTGTGAATAACTTTGAAGCAGCTCGAGCCTAAATTCTCTAATCCTGAAAGTCAAACTTCATTAAAGCATTTGATTTATCTTCCAACGTTTTTTTTTCTTCCAGCCACATGTTGAGCAAACCCTTCGTGTAATGGTCTTATTAAGAGGGAGTTGGTTTCCAAGCAAACTGGCCCGTGTCTCCGATAGCAAAATTAGCCTTGAATGAAATCAGATACAATTAAGGAACTTATTAGTTCTTGTCATGTTCATGTGGGTAATACAATAAACACGGCCCTCAAATAATCACAACCATCAGGGCTGCAATCATACTAACAATCGCAAACCCCTGAATAATATACCTACGTTACAGAGACTTGGCTCAGTTTGATTCAGTGTTATTTTAGGTGCCTTTAAAGCATACACACTCTGTTCCAAAGGTGTTAAGCAAGACTTCAGCACCATAACAACATTTTCATAGCCTCTGTACAAATGGATTTTTTCATATATAAACACAGTTACAAGCAAAAGGCTAAGTAATATGTGTCAACGTTGCTAAGTGCATGTTCACAAAACAATGTGAATAAGTCAACATTTTCTAAGGATTGTTAATATATATTTGTAGTGTGTTGTACTGCAGTAGTGAAACTCGCCTTCAGGTGTTTGATTAAAGCAACAGTGTCTTTTGTAGACGCAGCACTGGGTGTCGCCAAAGTCAGTAAGAGGGTCTTTAACAATCACGACTAAAAGTACTTAATATGGATCTTTGCAGATATCATTACAAATAATCAATATTCGATGACACAATGTATGTATATTGTGTCAGCTACGTTTCAACATCTGGTTGACATGGAAATATATATGTAAAATGAATGTTTGTGTTCATCATTGATGCATATCAGGTTACTTTATTCTGTTAAAAATATTGGTGCTTTAATGAAAATATTATTTACAAGTTCAAACAAAAAAGCAGACTTATATAAAAAACCTTATTTTGTTGGACTTAATGAACAAAACCCAAAGGTTTTTGATTAAAAAAATGGTAATTTCTGCATGGCAAATAGTGTAAATGATTATCAAAATGGTTGTTTATACATTTTTGTTGATCGACTAAAAAAGAAACTGGTTCAATACCGTTTTCTTTAAAAATGCTATTCTTTTTTTTCGAAATGATAACTGGTTTCACCAATACATATATTCCTAATTAGTCAAGTAAATGTATTGAGGGTAACATCATTTTGATTTGAAATATAGTCCTCTTATACTATTATATACAATTGTTCTATGTCCAAACTGTGTCAAAGTACAGTCAAATGTGGAATTGTTACCTAAATGAGAAAAGAATATCAGGACACACACACACGCACACGCACACACACACACACACACACACACACACACACACACACACACACACACACACACACACACACACACACACACACACACACACACACACACACACACACACACACACACACACACACACACACACACTCTATCTCCAGGCCTTTTACGCTCCTGCGACGCTCGCAGGGTTAAAATAAACGTTACTGCTGAACCATATTGTGCCCTCCCTCCTCTCTCCATATCCTTTATTCACAGGCGCGTAATTGGTAGTCAATTTGAGCTCCCCCTTTGCCTATTGTGGGCACATTTTGCTCTGACAGAGTGCGGAAGATTAATGGCTACGAGCAGCCAAGGGAGGCTCGCCTCAGCAAGCATGAGCGCCCTAAATTCATTACACCAATTTCCCCCTGTCCTGCGCTCCCCAACCACAAGAGAGAAAAAAAAGAGTGGAAATACAAGAATGAAAAGGGATAAAAGCAAAATAGTCAGATGGTGGTGTTGAAAGAAAGAGAGAAAGAGGTGCAGAAACAAAGGATTAAAGAGATGGCTGTGCGTTAGTGCTGTTTCTGAGGTCACACACACAGTCTGGCCGTCAAAAGAAAGAGCTGAGGGTTTTTTCGAGCACTATGTCTTCTGCTTAAATTTCAGTCGGTGTTGATCGCTGGAGTAGTTACAGGGACTGACAAGGCATCGGCTCACCTCCCACATTCACACACACACAAACACACACACATGATAGTGGACACACTCTCCGTATCTTTTTCTACTCGCCCTATCCCTCTCTTTCAGTTGTTTATCTTAAACACACAAGAACATGCACTACACAATCCAACGTGAACAACATTTTCAAAAGCTGAACTGTGAATCGCAGCAATATTTTAACATCCAGCAAGTTGTAGCAGGAAATACTGAAAAATATACAGTAGGAATATGTGTTGAAAACAACTCTGGGAATGAATTTAGGATAGAATATATTTATTCAACCCAACGATGCTGGCAGCAGCTATGAACTACGATGACGAAATATCCTCTGAATGTTCATACTGTGGCTAAACTTCAACATTACTGCCGTATCAACACCTACTCAACGTGCCTGCTGGGACGTGAGCTCTCAGATTGAGCCAAATGTTTCACAAGCATCCCGGGCACATTCAGATCTCACTGGCTGTAGGTCTGCTGGCAACAAGGCCCGGCTGCCTCGGATGAGCAGGAAACACCTTGAACTTGGGAATGATAAGGCTGACCTGTCCCCATTTACTTGGGTCGACTCATAATTGTGATGATTTATTTCTCCTGTCAAAGCCAAAGGGAATGCCCCCAGCCTCCCCTCTGTATTTAGTATCCCCCTTTTTCTTCTCTCTTTGGCACAGATTCTCTCTCTGGTTTGATTGATAAAATGTGTGTTTTTGCATTTGTGACATGCATATATCTGTGTGTGCATGCTCGTAAATGCTCCTGTATGCATGTGTTCAGCTTTCTGGCCTCCAAAACCTCTCAACATGGCCGTGTGTTTGACTGTCAGATGCTCCGTGCCCCCGGCGATGGCACCACGCCCCCAAAGGACTCGCACTGCAAGAAGATCAGTCTTGCGTCCGGAGCCGAGTGCATTGTCTCGAAGTGACAGGTCTCGTGGACGGTGCCTTGAGGGACGCCACCGGCAGCCCCGACTATAGGCCGGACTCCTGAAGCTCCACAAAGAACATGTCTGTCACACACGTCACCTCCCCCCGGCTGTCCTGCCACGCAACACAGCCAAGAACTCACAACCCCCAAATGTTACTGACAATTCCTGTCTGTTGTTGGGACGCATACCCTCTGGTGGCCGACCGTGGCATCCTTGCCGGGAGGCCAAACATATCTAAATGCATTTCCACGTTTGTTTCAGCTTTACTGAAACAAAATCTGTTTATGGGTTGTAGGTCAACACTTTGAATCAGTCTTGTATCGTAACACATTGACGCATAACTGTGTCTGACCCCAACCATGTCCTGATCAGCAAATATTAATTGTTACCATTCAATTGGAGATACACGGTTTGACGATTTAACAAGGTTAGACTGAAGCACTCATTTGTGCACCAGTCAATCCTAAAATCAAATACAGAGTTTAATCCCAGATCATTGACATGCCTGTAATGCTCTCTTAAAAGTCTGTTGCCTTTTTTCTTGTCCTACATTTTTCGCAAATGGTGCTGAAATGCAAGACAAATGTCAGAGTTGACAATCAACAAAGTTTTATCACTTCATTTTGAATTTCCAATATGAACAGGTTCTGTTGTGTGGTGTTTTACAAGATAGAAATTGCATACTGAACATATATAATCATAATATACAGCTAAATATCATGGTTGTGGAACCTTATGATGTTGGCTTCATCTTAACCCAACTTTTGACATTTCATTTAATCATTGTTTAGGAATTACCTTGGTACAGTCTTTTGTAGCAGGGCTGCTTTACACAATGTTCAGCCTGAGGCTTCATCTACTGTACTGTACGTTTTCTGTAGAGTAAACATGTCTTCAGGCTGAGTGTTTCACTGTTTAGTTATGTTGCATATACTGTGACAACATAACAGCTGTTGTATCATTTAAAAATGCAGTGATAATTTGCTGAGCATGCACCGCTTCCAGACTTTCATTTGAGCCCAGTGCAACCACTCCATTATACTGAACTGTTGGACAAAAACAGAACAGCTCTTTAATTATTAGTGCAGGCAGTAGCTCAGTCGGATTTGGTAGGGAAGCGGAGGGTCAACAGTTTAAGTCCACTGCTCCTAATGATAAGATGGGTTGAATTCAGAGACTACATTTCACTTTGTGTGTGATTCTTTGTACATGTGAACGAAGATTTAATTCAATCCTTAATTTCAACTGTATAAATCAATATTTTAAAGCCTTGCGCATCGATACAACATCTGAATCAGTACCAGGTTTATTGGCAAGTAGGTCTACACATACAAGGAACGCATTTGGAGTATGATGCATTTTTTAAACCCCTAAGAGGAATTAAGTTGTTAAAATATTTATTGATTTTGGCCTTCGAAAAAAGGGACTCCACTGCCTGACAGCGTTTGTTAGTGAAATTGAAAAAATTGAACAAGCAATAGATGTAAATGTTAAATTCGGATGGGAGTTTAGGGGAACGCTGCATCAAAAAGTTAGTGGAAAAATTCAAGTTGACATGTAATTAGACCCCAAGGTATTTAGCTTAAACAGCAACATCACGTTTTCTTCTAAGTTTTAAATTCATTCATTTAGTTTGCTTGTGTGTTCGTTCTCCGTTTTTGGTTACATTTGAATATAAAATTCCTCTGTTTCCATAATCTAAAAAGCAAACTAGCTTTTTTTCCCTGTAGAAACAGCCAAAGGTCTTTTCTTGGACTAAGCTTATGGTTCTGATCAAATCGTTGTGTGAACATCATGGAGCGTCTTAGCAGCGCAGTCAGAGTTACAACCTTTGATGGTCGTAGTTCAGGCCAGAGGAAGACTTTTTTCTTCCCAGGGTGTGTTCACTTGTCCCGGCCTTCAAAGCTCCTGGCAGATTAACACAGCAACAGTGCTTTGTGATTTGGCCGGCCATGTAATTTATGTACCTTCTCTGGCTCACGGTTCCCACTCTGCACCTGTTCAGAGCCTACAATAAGCACTGTGTCGATGCCAAGCCGCTTTGGTGAGATGGGGACAGTGGAGGTGGGTGCACAGGTCAGAGCATGAAAAAAAAGAAACTGCACACCAATCTCTTATTTTATCCTCCTTTCGTTTTGTACAAGAAAGGGAGGACTTCAGGGGGGTTGGAGGCTTTAAGGGGCACTTCCAGGCCAACCAATAAATCAGTGTAGGCGAGATAGATTCATCGATAGGAGAGCAACATAAAAGGACTCCGTTGTAGTAATGTAGACAAGGTGTGCAGGTTTGTCCCTCACAACTCTCTCAAGATGGATACTCAGCAAGCCTGCACGGTTCCACTTAGCAGCACCTTCCTCAGAGACCAGGAAATCGGAAGACACCCCAAATGTTTCGCATTAAGGGTTCACCCTCGCTGGAGTGGTGGAGTTGGGAACCATGCAGGGGTGAGTGGGGGACAGCTAGGGGTGTGGGTCACCACAGATACAGTCAGATTGGTAGTTTAGAGAAATACAATTTGAAATGTTAATAAATGGGGTTCTTATTTTGAGGTTCATGTTTGTATTTTGCTTCTACTGTGACATGTTTACACATTTTAATGTACAAAAAGGGCTTTCTTTTCTCATACCCCTATGTTATTTTAAGAAACGCATTATTCAATACATATAGTAAAGGTCACAGACAATTTTTTTAATGAACATATAGGTTAACCTACTGAATAAAACGAAAGAAAGAAATGAAACAAGGAAAGTAAAAACCATAAATCAGATTCGGGAAGTAGGCGTATTCACACTCAAAGTATTAGCCGACAGAACAGTACAAAGAAGAAATTAACAAGAAAAAGGAAATGCCCTTTTTTCGCTTATTAATAACATAGTAATCCTGCTAGTAATCCCTATTTTTTCTGAAATGCAACAGTAATCTGTTTACATCTTTTTTGATGTAACTGTAAGGGAATACAGTGACCTGCGTAATCCGTTACTCCCCAAGATCACGTGAACATGTATTGTTGTAGCTCGAGTTGACTGCCGCGCTCCATGTGCTGGAATGGGTAATGGCAAGTGTTCATAAAGATGTCACAAGAAAACTTCAGGAGACACAAAGTCTCAATTTCAGCCAAGGTGCTGCCAGCCAGATGTGCAGCAGCAACTGGATCACAACCTGCCCGTCCTCCATGCCAAATCTGAAGCTAACAGGCAGAACCTCACAGCTCTTTTGAAGTGGGTGCCAAGAGGTGTCCAGACCCTTAACGACCTGAAATTTATTACATCAGCATCCAGGGAGGAGTGAGAGGTCGGAGTTTGTCCAGTGAAACGTCTCTTCATCCCCTCTTTGACTCAGTGCCTCCCTTCACTCACTTTTATTCCTCCCATTCTCTTCTTTCCCCGCACCTGTTTAACACCTTGACTTCATCTATGACCTTTGTCAATCTGCTGTTAAGTGTTTCATGTTACTGTTGCCTTGGTAGGGGTGCAGCTGGCTGAGCAAACAAGGGTTGCATGAGATCTTTGGGCCCGATAGACCTCTTTCTCGTTCCCAGAACACCTTTCTCCTAATAAACAGTGTCAGAATTAGACATTCATAGCATAGAGCAAGTGCCGAACTGATACTAAAAGCAGATAAGAACAATATAATGTGATGGCACAGCTGTGGTGGAGGTGTACATTCACTAGTATGATACAGAAAGGGATTTGAGGTGAATAACCAGAATATGAAGGGTAACATGTGCAGGTGTGTGTGGGAGAGAAACTCCCTCTGGAAGGATTTTAGCCTTTGCAGACCATTGACATGCACACAAACCTAAATAACAAACTACAGGTATTGGAAAACCCCCCTAAAGCAAAATAGGGCCTCTTTCATTTCTATTGCAGGGTATCAGCTAATATTACATATATTAGTTGCCAAAGAGTGTGGTACATTTCTTTTTGGTTACATAAAAATGTATGTCTGTGTCATGGAAAAAGACTGAAGAAGGCTTATCCCAGTTGTAGATGTGATAACATATGGGATTATTAGCTTAAACATATCTGTTATCACACCATTTCATATTTTGAAATGTTCCCTGCGCTCTTCACATCAAGTAAAGAAAAAAAATCCCCCTCGGTTGATGTTAAGTGAAAGTACTGTTTGACCTGGGAGTGACTCAGGCCAAGACCAGATGGCCTGGTAAATTAATAATAAAAAAAAGGAAAGCCATGTGAAACAAAGCACATGGACTGGAAGGCAAATTCCAAGGGGATTCCCCCTCCTTTCAATGAGACAAGTGTGCAGCCGCAACGTTTAACTGAAACAAAATGTGAGCAAATTTGTACCCGTAAACGTGAAATTACTTTTGCTCATTTTAATCCCCCTGTCTGTTCAACTCTGCAAAATAAGTCTTTGAGGCTTTGCACAGTCATGCGCAAAGTGATGTATGTGGAGAGAGAGGGTTGGGAGAGGGGGAAGAACAAAAATCAAAGAACATTTCTGGCAAGGAGATTTACAACTCTGGTGAAATGTTTCTACTGCTGCCCGAGCAGAAGCAGCAGCAGTAAGTGTTTTAAAGCGCAGGGCTGACAGCGCAGAAAGGTGGCAGGGCAGAGGGAGGAGGGACGCCTCAAAATGGCTTTACGACTCTTGTTATCAGGTCTAAATAAATCAATAAAAACCCCACTTAAGGGAGGCTAACATATTTCATTCTTCAGCTGTTATTGATAACTCTAACCCATTTGGCCCGCCTGGAGTTTCATATTTTGAAAGTCATGATGCTTCAATTTGTAGGCCTTGATATGCGGCTTGATGTTCTGCAGGTGTGGCTTTTGATGTTTGAAGACCATAAACCTGCGGTGTGAACTGCACCGAGAACTTTGCGGCCCCCGTGGTAAAATCAGGCCTTTACTGTTAATCCATTATTCATCAGGTAGCATTATTTAATCCGTTAACCATAAGTAACATAGTTAAACGTGCTTTCAGTATTACATTATATTGCAATATTTAGGCGTCATGCAGAATGAAAAAGGCAGGAGCAGGGAGAAAGATCAATATACTAAATCCCCGGGTGCTTTGGTTCACCTGTTCCAGTCTTACGAGATATGTGCTCACCTAAAATCTGGCACTTGGTGAAGACATTTTTTGGCACGACGATTGTGCATTTTTGCACTTGCCTTGAAAGAATTTCACAGCGAATCTGTCTGCTTCGGACAGGCTGAACTTTTTGGAACAGGTGGACATTTTTCATCCGTAAAGACCGCACAAAAGACAAAGAGATTATTTTGTCAAATACATCTCAAAACAAACTGAGACAGATCATACAGCATCAGGGAAACATGTTAGAGAACAAATGTGGGTGCACGGTAATGTGTACGCATGCCGTGTGTAAACAACCAACAGCAACAAAATTATTGCTTACCCTAGAGCAGCGGTTCCCAACCTTTTTCAACTCAGCGCCCACTTAAGAATCAAAAATGTTTTCGTGGCCCACATTCAACGGAGGCTAAATAAAGTTCTGATGAAGACCGCACACAGTTAAAGGTCCCATGTCATGGCCATTTCTACTGATCATACTTCCATTGTT